TCGAGAACGGCTGGGCCGATTGAGCTGATTTTGGTTTCAAAATGTTTGTCGTAGTTCAGGGTAGGTCTAAACGGTGAGCAAATACGCGCGTGATATTGTTGTTCTGTGACAGACAAAATTCCACGCGGGCGAAGCCGCGGGCGGAAAGCTAGTAATTACTATGAATGAAAGTCGAACTCAAATATAGTTTGAACAGTCCCAGAATGATTGCAATATTTTACTTTGCAATCGAATAGGCATTTTCAATCCCTAGGGACTTAAGAATATGATTCGCTGTTGATATTTGCAGACTGTATTTGTTTTTGAAATTGCCTGGTTCACACAAACACAAGTTATCGACAAGAAGTTGATTTTCGCTTAAACTTAGAGTAGGCGCGCACCGTTGATTTTTAGTTGGCCGATAGTTGTGCCGATTTTAATTTGTATGAAGAATCGGCCAAATCGAATCGGCGTAGTGTGCGCACTCCCATACATGCCCATACTGATCAACTGCCCGGCTAAACTATCGGCCGACGAAAAATCAACGGTGTGCGCCTACTCTTATGGCACAAATCAAAAGTGTGACTAACTACAAGAGTTCAAATTACCCAACACAATAAAAATAATGGATGTTTCGCCTAGACATCTGCGGGTAAGCTCTCGGATTCGGGATTCAGCACTTGGGGGTAAATGACTTTGAGTCTTTTACACGTTACGATTTCCGAAGAAGAACGACTTATTTGCATTAAGGTTGTTCTATGTCGTTTTTAATGCAATTTTTTTTAAAGAAAATGTAAATATATTTTATGTGGAAATTGTAGAGTATGGAAGACATTGATTCGAATTTTTTTTCTTTTTAATTTGTGTATGTAGATAATATGTAGTAGACAAAAACCAGGAAAATGATTATAAAAATCACTACCTACGAGTACATACTATAAAACAAAGTCGCTTCGCTATGTCTGCCCCTACGTATGCTTAAAAAAATCTTTAAAACTACACAACGGATTTTGATGCGTTTTTTTAGATAGAGTGATTGAAGATTTTTAACTATTTTAGGTACCTGAGCGAAGCGTGAAGAAAACGTCCCATGTAAAAGGCCAGTAAAAGTAACAGTTTGGCAAAACCTCGCGAGTCTCAACTTCATCGCGCAGTTAACAGCCGTAATGAGCGCTCGTCTTTTGGAGCTTGTTAAGCATTTTTATTGCTTTAAGCATAATTTGGGGAGTCTCTATTGATTTTTTCGCTTGTGCTGTTTTAAGTAGGTTCTGAAATATCTAACATGACAGTCAATGGAATAGAAGATTTTACCATTTTCAGTTTTTGTGAGACATGGTCTGAAGCCATAAGATTTGAGCATTGTGTGAAGTGGTGCTTGTTTCTGTAGCAAATCTGAATGGAGCTATTTACGAGGTAAACATGAGCTGATATTGGCACTAGCTACTGAAGAAAGAAACGTCCCTGCGAAAGAAGTTTTAAAAATATGAATGTTTTTACATTCTTTACCTACTTCGATTCATTTTCCTAAAGTGGCCTAATTTTACAAGCTCTTAAAAGTACTCGCAAGTTTAAATAAGGTCTTGTTAGCCCCTCAGGGATCTCCATAGGACTCCATTTTGTATAGTAGAAGTGTAGTAGATGGTATTTGTCTATCGTGTGGGTTTGTACATGGGTCATTATCAGAATAACCTTTTTCGAGATAAAAAGAACATTAATTATTGCCCCGGGCAATGTTTAAGACAAGTTTTGTGAAACAAAGTTAGTTGTACTTTGTAACAGCCATTGGATATTGTTATAATAACAACAATTTGTTTAAAGTTTCTTACTGTCCTGTATATTTTTACTCATTTTAACTAATCCTCAAGTTTTATTTAACGAGCTTGACAAGAAACGAAAGCGTTATTCCAAAATAAAACTTTGCTCATTATGATTATGTATTTTTATTCTTCTATGTATAATATAACACTAGCTTTTCCCACGGGTCCACTGAGACGGCTGTTACTGAAAAACATTATCGTGCGTATGAAATAAATATTTCTTTAAAAAAAACGGTATTTAAGCGATCATAAACTCTATCTTAACCAAATTTTATTAGAATCTGTTAAGTGGTTTATGAGTGAAAATGTCTTAGTTTTACTGTGGATATACAGGGTGTCCCAAAAACTTAAATCTGTGATATTTTTACAAAGGTCTAATTTTGATATTACAGAGATCTTGAGGAGGCCAATTGATAGTTGTAAGGTTATCCATTGTTTATGGGACACCCTGTATACATAATCTATATCACAGACACGTTCCCACTAAAGCTTTCTTAGTAATAATCCTACCTACTGTAATTCTGGAACAGAGCGTAACGTTACAGACTTTACCCTGTCTTTTTAGCCCACTTCTATTACGTAGAACAAATTACTACACACGTTTCAAATAACTCACTTAATGAGAGATGTGAAGACTAACATTCTTTTGTTTTAGTTAAACTTCACGTAATAACGAAAAGCTTTTGTTGGAATATCAACGGTCAGTCCCTTGTCACAATAAAACACGTGCACGGCAACACGGTAACACGGCTCGTCACGTTTTTGTCGCGTTCCGAAAATATTCGAGTGTTTCATTGTCTTTTTATTTATTTTAAGCTTGCACAAGAGTTATAAAACTTGGGTTCAGTGTGAAACAAAGTCGAACAATTAAAACTATAGGACAACAGACTGTCGGCCGTTTGGTGTAGTGGTTCAGAACGGACTACTATGCCGAGAGGTCCCAGGTTCGATTCCCGGCCGGGCAGAAATTGAAATGATGAATTTCAATTACTGTAACGGGTCTGGGTGTTACTATGTATAGTATGTAGGTATTTACCCATAGTACAAGCTTTGCTTAGTTTGGGACTAGAGGCGCAGTGTAAAATGTCCAAGGATATAAAAAAAAAACAATGCCAAGCGACACATTGAAATTGAGGGGGCAATATTGCTCCAATAGTGGAGGTCTCGATTGATGGACATTTGGCAGGGTCACTTGTGAAAGGTACATTGTATTAGCTGGTGTATATCTGTGGTACTTATTATCACCTAAAAGAAAGCATTTTTATATCATTGTTATCATCTTTCCTCTGTTTTGCGATAAAAAAACCTTAGCTTCGATCGAACTAGCAACATTTCTGATCGAATCTCTTTTGAGCTAAGTATTTATTAGTAAAAACTTTTAGGCTGAGTTGCACCACCTAATTTTAAATGCAACTATAACGATAACCGGTGCTTTTTATATGGTGTTTGACAGATTTTTAACGTTTGTTAAAGTTAAAGTAAGATGGTGCAACCCAGCCTTAGTCTGTCAGACTTTTTTTAGGAAACTAGTCTATTCGTATTACATTCCATTGCCATTTCCTATTCATCCCTTGACTCAAATATTTGCAAGAAGAAGTTAGGTATGTCCTGCGAAATAGGATAGACAAGGACTTTCCCTTTTTACAAACGGGACCCAAATAAGTCTGGAATCTAGATGAACTAGGGCGTGAACAGGGTGAAATTGTCCGGTCATGGTTTGGCGCTCATGTGAAACCTAGAACGCCAAAAGTAGAGGCGCCACAGCCTTTAGAAGGCACTTGAATAAATGGAACATTTTTCAGCAGATGTTATTGTTATTACCTACATTAACTCTCTTTACCACCTTTTTTAATAAAAATTTCATGAATTGAGGAAAAGCAATTTTCTTTTCTAATTTTTCGAATAAAAGTTTTCTAGCGATAAGACAAAGAAATAAAATAAATTCATTTAAATTATGATCTAGCTTAACAATAGATTCCTTGGTTTCTAGATAATTCAATTTAGCTGTTAATTTTATTGAACGTGACTGTAAAAAAATACCCGGTTGATGAATTTTTTGCACTATACTGCAATAATTGTGTAAAAAGTAGGTATCGCAAGACATAATTATTTTGCTTTTACTTTTGTTTTAAAAAAATTTAACCCACGAATCTGAAAAAAAAAATGCATGAAATACTATAATTATACGCGGGCAATTTCTCAAGCATACCAATTCCACGTCAATTAAGTGGGTTTGTAAGCAAACGCGTGAGCATTACGAGTACGTATCCGAAAGCTATTGTATGAATGAAAATGAGAAATGAATATTGGTTTGGATAACGTCAAATCGTATGTGATATAATCACGGGCCAAAGGAAATCGAGGACATACCCCGTTACGCAATTTGGGACTTCTTCTTCGGAAAAATCCGTAAGAAGGTCGGAATATTTATTATACGTGTAGACTGTAGGTAGGTATACTACGGTATACTACGTAATGAACTATTCGAACATGAACAAATTGGGCGACAACTTTATTATATTGAACCAGCTTGAAGCTTGGGCTTGAAGGTTAAAAAATAGGCTCCAAAGTCCAAACCTAATAATAGGTATACCGAATTCAAATTGTTTACTAGTATGTAAGGCCCTTTTCATCGCTCTTAGACACGTCCCAAATATAACTGGCTTTACTACCAATTTGGGATAAAATATAGGGTGGCGCTGATAAGAAGTGGTGGAAGAAACTTTAGTCATACCATTTTTTAAATAATTACTTTCTGAATGACTAGTTGAACGAATCTCCAGTTTAATATAACTTTAATTTCAATTTAGTTATGTCCTCTGATTAAAACATAACCTAAACTTTTACCCTATGTCACGAGTACGTACGGTTTGTATTAAAAGTATCCTAATTTCCTAAATCCATATTTATTGCATGTACCTTTACATAACACTTTGCTAAAACAAGTCTTATTAAGAACAAAACGTGAGATTATCCCCCATTATGTATGTTAAGTATTATTATAATCCTCGGTTACTTAACCCTTCCAATCTTCGGGCCCAGGTGTGTGTAATATGACAATTTTAAAAGCCCTTTNTTGTGTTACTTGGGAAGAAACTCCTTGATTTTCAGTATTGGTGTGTAATCCAGTGGATAGAAATGAAGAGTGACAATAATAATAGTAAATTTTCGTTTGTTTTAAATTATACAATATTAGCACCCGCGGATTGGTGCGCAAAATTGATCGCGGACGAGGAACGTTCCTGATTGGTTGTTGGTCTCGAGCGTTAAGACGTTGAGCGAAGAAATTGTAGCAGGGAGAAGGTATATGGCCGCCAGTTCTCATGATGAGTTGCGTAGATGGCGCTGTGGGTGTCCAAACATGCCCCCGGCCTTGGAAGCACCAGCTTACGAAAGACTAGCAGGATCCATCTCTGGCTGATCCCATAGTAAAGGACAGATCTTGGTTACAGCGCGCCTGATGACTCCGGATGTTGTTTGGATGTCAGCAACTCTCACGATGCCATCCTTTCCATGGATCGTGTTCTTAACGCGTCCCAGTTGCCATTTCAGTGGAGGTAAGTTGTCATCCTTGACAATCACCAGCGTGTCTGGTCGCAAGTCGACCGTGTTCTCCTTCCACTTGATCCTCGTCTGCATCTCCGAGATGTACTCTTTGGTCCAACGTGACCAAAAATGCTGGCGCAGTTGTTCAACACGTTGATATCGAGTAAGTCGATGCATCGGCGTATCTTGCATGTCGGCGCTTACAGGTGCAACGAGCGGACGACCAACCAGGAAGTGAGCCGGAGAGAGAGGCTGAAGATCGTGCGGATCTGTGGATAGGGGACTCAGTGGACGGGAGTTAAGGACAGCTTCCACCTGCGTTAATAATGTGCATAGCTCTTCGAAATTTAGGTGCGCGTTGCCTAATACACGGTTAAGGTGATATTTGCAAGATTTTACTCCTGCTTCCCACAGACCACCAAAATGAGGAGAGTATGGAGGTATGAATTTGAATTTAATCTGTTGGCTGCTAGCATACTCGATAATATCGGATGAGCAATTCGTTAAAAATTTCTTAAATTCATTCATCAAACCTACAAAATTCCTACCGTTGTCTGAAAAGATTACTTCCGGTCTGCCACGACGCGAGATAAATCGTTTCAGGGCTAGAAAATATGCGTCGGATGTCAGATCGCTGACAAGTTCCAAGTGTATCGCGCGTGTAACGAAACAAATAAACAAACAAATGTACGACTTTACAGTTTTAGCACCTCTGCCTTTGCGATTCAGTACGAGCACCGGGCCTGCATAGTCTACCCCGCATCGCATGAACGGGTAAGTTGGCGTGATTCGCTCCATAGGTAAGTGTCCCATAATCGGGTTTACGGTTTTACCTCTTAAGCGTGTACAAATAATACATTGACGTATTACCTTTTTTGCGAGATCACGCCCCCTTACCGGCCACCAGCGCTCGCGCAGCGCGAACAGCAGCGCCTGCGGAGCCGCGTGCAGCAGTTGCGCGTGCTCGCGGCGGAACAGCAGCACTGAAAAGCCATGTTTACTTGATATTAGCATGGGGTGTTTTTTATCAAAGTCGAAACTGGTAGAATTGTCTAGACGACCTCCTACTCGAATTAATTGGTCGTCATCAATAAATAAATTTAATTTGGCTAAATTATGATTTCTTTTTAGTTTTCCTGTTTCTAACAATTGCTTATGTTCTGCTGGAAATGATTCTAATTGTGAAAGTCTAGCTAATGTTTTCACAGCATCTCTCAACTCTTCCACACTGAGCGGTCCTATTATTCTGTCATTTTTATTTCGCGTATTATGAATAAAGCGGAGTACGTATGCGGCTGCGCGACTCATGCGGTTGAATTGAGAGAATCTGTGAAATGGAAATAGTGATGTACCGGATTGTTGTTCCGCTATAAAAGAATGTACTGCTTCACGTTTGACTTCTGTGAGTGCTTGTTCAGGGATGTCAGACTGGTCACACCCTGAAGCCGAGCTCAGCATAATTTCGGGTTCGTGTAGAAATGTTGGTCCATTCCACCATAGTGACGAATTCGAAAGGTCAGCTAAACTAACACCACGCGATACGAGGTCAGCAGGGTTATTCTTTCCACTGACATGGTACCACGGGAGCTCTTTACTGAGTTCGTGAATTTCAGAAGTTCTGTTCTGAACAAAAGTTTTTAGTAGGTTGGGGGCCATACGTAACCATCCCAACACTATGGTTGAGTCAGTCCAAAAAACAACGCGGTCAAAGTGACACCGAAGTGCATCGCGAACCTTGTCATAAAGTCGAGCACCCAATAACGCTCCGCATAGTTCTAATCTAGGGATGCTGACCGGTTTTAAGGGCGCGACCTTGCCTTTAGAGCACAACAACCTCACTGTCACTATCTGAGTGTCACTTACTGTGCGTATGTAGATGCATGTACCGTAAGCAGTTTGTGACGCATCGGTGAAAATGTGAAGCTCAATCCTAGTTGGGTATGGTCCCATGACATGTCGCGGTACAACTATGTTGTTTAAAATAGACAGATCGTTGACAAACCGGTCCCAGATTTTTGTAATGTCACTAGGAACGGGATCGTCCCATCCCAATTTCAACAACCATAATTTTTGCAATAACACCTTCCCTATGATTACAGCAGGGCTCAGAATGCCTAGTGGGTCGAATATTTGCGACACGGTGGACAAAATTATGCGTTTGGTTAACGGCATCGGTTTGTTTTCAAACTTACTAGTGAAATTAAAGTTATCTGACGAGGGATGCCAACCAAGACCTAGTGTTTTGCATTGACTATTTTCCCCTAATGCTAACTCTTTAGAATAGTGAGGAACTGATTTATCAAATTCGTGATCAAAATTAAATATCCATTTGCGTAATGGAAAACATCCAGACTCGAGTGTGTTAGCTGTATTTTTACATATTTCTAACAACTGAGTTTTATCATCATGGCCCGTGATCATATCGTCGACATAGAAATCCTCGGTTAACACTCGTTTGACGTCACAGTCAGTACAGTCAGCAGCTAACTGCTTTAAACAACGACAACTGAGAAAGGGCGCGGAGGCTGTCCCATACGTAACTGTATTTAAGCGATAAACGTCTATAGGCTGCGATGAGTCATCACGCCACAGTATCAGCTGTAGGTCCCTTTGTTCCGGCGCAACACTTACTTGTCTATACATTTTTTCTATGTCGGCGCAGGCTGTGTATTTGTATTGCCGAAATCGTAATAAAATGGAAAANAATAGTGAAGTACCGGATTGTTGTTCCGCTATAAAAGAATGTACTGCTTCACGTTTGACTTCTGTGAGTGCTTGTTCAGGGATGTCAGACTGGTCACATCCTGAAGCCGAGCTCAGTATAATTTCGGGTTCGTGTAGAAATGTCGCGTATGATTGTTTGTATTTAGGATCACGATCGAATCTTTTTTCTAACGATAAAAATTGACGCTTCGCTTGAGAATACGTCTCGCCCAAGGCATCAGCTGACTCTTTAAGTGGGATGTGAACACAAAACCTTCCGTCAATATCGCGTGTAGTATTGCTTACAAAAGATTTTTCACACTCTAACTCGTCATCATTAAGTNATGGAAAATAAGTCGCCTTGTATTGGAGGACCTACTAGTTGGATGTCATTTAATGACTTTCCAGTCGAAGACTTGGCACTAGCATTAAAAACCACACGTAATTTTGTGGTGGTACTGTGAGCACGAAAAACGCCATGATGTGGCATGATAAAATGAGGAATCCCATACGACTGTGCGAGTGTCATGTGGCCTAAATTGATGTATTCGTGTATAAAGTCTGCGTATAATTGTTTGTATTTAGGATCACGATCTAATCTTTTTTCTAGAGATAAAAATTGACGCTTCGCTTGAGAATACGTCTCGCCCAAGGCATCAGCTGACTCTTTAAGTGGGATGTGAACACAAAACCTTCCGTCAATATCGCGTGTAGTATTGCTTACAAAAGATTTTTCACACTCTAACTCGTCATCATTAAGCGTATTCTGAAGCCTGGGTAGTTCTTCAAGCTCCCAAAATTGGCGAAGTTGTGTATCTAAAGATTGACTGAAGTTGCAATGAATAGATTTATTTTTGTGTGCGTATAAATTCAAAGAACCCGACACTATCCAACCTAACTGTGTGTTTTGGAGGAACGGGCCGTTAGGTAAACGCATTTTACCTTCAATAAGTAGGTCCCAGAATCGATCTGCGCCTATTAATAAATCGATATCTTGCGATTCTAAAAATTGAGGATTTGCAAGCTGAACATGTTTAGGAATCCTAAAATGCGCGCTTTGTATGTTAACAGCTGGCAAAGTTGATGTTATTTGCGGTAGAACGAAACACTTAATGCGCATGGAGTAGGTATTGATGCGTGATTTTACTTCGATGTCACAAATTTGCGTGGATTGTGACACAGAATTACCCACACCTCGTATTTCTGTAGTGGACTGTATAACTGGAATGTCTAATCGTTCGCATAATGATTTTGTGATAAAACATCGTTGACTTCCGTTGTCAAGAAGTGCGCGTACTAAATGATAGTTACGATGTTTATCCGCTATCTCGACCAGTGCAGTCGATAACAAAACCGGTAGCACGTCTAAATCATGTGTGTTGGAATGCGCGTTGTAAACACATTCGTTTGTATTGTGCGTAGCGGCCGTATCGGGCGAGCCTGCGACCGGCGGCGGCGGCCGCGGCGCAATGAATGCAGATGTTTGTGCGCTGGGCAATGCGCAGGATGCGCTCGGGCAATCCGATTCAGTCGTCAGTGCACTAGCTGAGAGTAAGGTCATGCCGGGACTTGTGCCTTGTTCGTCACTATGTATGAGGGAGTTATGTTTTTTGTTGCATTTTCTACACGACCCAAACTTACAATCGCTCACCGTATGACCAGAACGCAAGCAGTTTTTGCAAAGTTTGTGATTATCAATAAGTTTAAGCTTTGTGTGTAAATCAGAATCTAAAAACCTTTGACAAGAATAAAGTGGGTGCTTACCGTTGCACATCACACAACTTGATGGCTTTTGTGACTTGTTGTTGGAAACATTGCAATGCACTTTAGTACGTTCATGCGTAGCTGTTTGTTTTTTATTTAAATTATTTTGGCTACCTTTGCAGTGTGAACTAGATAAAGTTTCCAACATATCTGCTCTGTGCTTTAGAAATTGAAGTAAATCATTTATTTTCAAAGCTACCTTGGAGTCGCCACGATTTTCAATTAAATTACTATATTTATATTGTTCCCATTCGCGTTCTGTGGTTTGATCCAATTTAGAGACAACAATATAAATAATTAAAGTGTCCCATGAATCAGTGGGCTCGCCTAATATTTTTAAAGCACGTAGGTTCTTTAAAATAGTGTCTATGAGGTGTCTAATGGATGTAGGTGACTCCTTGGTGAGCGTTTGAATTGAAAATAAAGCCTTGATGTGATTGTTAACCAATAAATTTGAATTATTGTAACGGTTAAGCAATAACTCCCATGCAACTAAATAATTGTCAGCGGAAAACTCTAATGATTCAATCACTTGTGCTGCGCTGCTTTTTAGTGATGATTTTAGATAGTGAAACTTTTGAATATTACTAATCTCATTAGAATTATGCACAAGAGATAAAAATGTGTCTCTGAATTCTAGCCAATGCTCGTATGAACCGTCAAAGGTTGGCATGGAAATGGTAGGTAATTTGACCGATTCCTGTACTTTATTCCTACACTTAGAACTTGTAGCAACCAGATCACTGCCCAACATACATTCAGCCCGAGCTAGGACGTCATAGTAGCAATCTTCAAATGAATCGCGTTGAGATAATTGGCTATCTATTTCGCTTTCTGACACAATTTCCTCTATTTTAGTTTGGAGATCACTAAACTCAGCGTACAGGCCCTTGGCACCTTGTACGCGAAGTGCCAAGTCGGCACGTAATTTCTCAGACAACACATTACTTTTAATGCTATCTAGGTAATTAGAGAATCTAGTCAGCCTACTTTTAACTATTCCACGTTTTTTATTTAAGCTGCTTAGCAAACTAGATTGTTCGAATGGGATACCATCGACCGTTAGACTACAAGGGGACTTTGAACGTGCCCTCACCTCACTTTCTTTGCTCATTTTGGTAAGTTAGTGAAAAGCAGGAGTACTTACAGTTTTAGTGTTCGTAGTGATCTGCGAAAGCAGCAGGTATTAGCAACGACACTCTGCTGTTGAACACTCGACACACTTGATGCGCGTACGTAGGTAGGTAAGTACTGAAATTAGCAAATGCACAGTATTACACAAGTGAAAACCAAGGGTTTTTGGATATTGCGAATGGCTGGCCGTACCGATTTTGCATCTCCTGAAGTCCTGGTGTCCAATACGTAGACGTGACTTGAAGATAGCTTCGCCGGTTGATATTGTGATATCTTGCGTTTTCCGGTGAATATGCAGCTCGGATAGGTCGCTCGCTTGTTGTATCCGGCTCGAAGGACCAAATGTACCAGAATAGCCTTGGCACTGCAGGATTTTTGAAAAGAAACTCCTTGATTTTCAGAATTGGTGTGTAATTCCGTGGATAGAAATGAAGAGTGACAATAGTAATAGTAAATTTTCGTTTGCTTTAAATTATACAATGCTAGCACCCGCGGATTGGTGCGCAAAATTGATCGCGGACGAGGAACGTTCCTGATTGGTTGTTGGCCTCGAGCGTTAAGACGTTGAGCGAAGAAATTGTAGCAGGGAGAAGGTATATGGCCGCCAGTTCTCATGATGAGTTGCGTAGATGGCGCTGTGGGTGTCCAAACAATATAATATAGGTACATTATATTTTCCTAAAACATCGGAAAGTTAGTAATAAATATGTAAATAGATAACAATGTTTTTTATGCATAACAAGGCAGGTATTTGACCAAAATCGCAAAATGTTAAAATAAATCAATGAATCTTCTATGAGCTTACTCTATTCGCGTTAACTGTGATTTAAATTCATATATTCATGGTAAATTAGATAATAAAACAGATTATGCAACTGATTCCATGAATATTTACCAGGGATCATCTGCTGGGCGATGTTGAGTCTTGTATCGATCGGGCAGAGTTTGTATTAGGGTGCGGCGAGAATTTCATTAGAAAACTGGATAGGTATTATGGTGGCCGCTATTACATTCTGACCGCTAATTTCAATTGGGATGTCTGGCTGGAACGGGACAGGGCCGTAATTTACAGGTGGGGTGAACCCCGGGCCCTTGGATAGAATCGCAATACTAATCTGTTAAAATACCAGTGGTTTGTTATTGTTTTGAGAAAGATGTTCATTTATTGGATCTTTGGTTGGGATTATTTTGGACAATGCTTCTTCCTACACGGGTATTACTAGAACTTTATGTAGTAAGTCAGTTGAGGGTTTTTGACAATTTAGTAGTTGTAGTGACTGTATGTAGTTTATTTATTGTCTTGCGATGGTTTTATTTGCTGTCAGGTCAAGCCTATCAATAAAAGTGTCTTTGTAAGACCATGAACTATTTTTGAAAGCGAGAAAATGATTCTGCGTATTCATTCCTTCATAAGATATATCTTGAAGCAATGGCAGACAAAAAAAGCTTTTTGCAAAGTTTTCCTTTAAAGTATTTTTTCTACAGAAGATTTATTCATTGACGCTTCCTAGGGCCCGGTCCTTAAATACGGCCCTGGATTGTTCGTTAATTCGGCGGATCAAATGGTTTCATTACAACTGATTGCCAAATCCCGCGATCGATGGGAATGCAATCGAACGTTCGCGGGCTCTGATCGAGAACATTCCTCATCAGTTTGGAATTTGATATTTCACTGTCATAATGAAGCTGATTTGCTTGCTTGCAAGTTACACACACTATGATAGGTTTATGGAATCTAGCGGCCGCCCGCGACTTCGTACGCGTGGACCCTGTTTTACCCTCTAGTGGTTGAATTTTGCAAAATCCCGTCCTAGTGTCCCGTCTTAGCACCTACACGTTCTAAAAGGAACCCCCAAGCAAAATTAAAGACTCCTAGCACTTGTAGATTCTAGGATTTTGTGATGAATGAGTCAGTCAGTGACCTTTCGCTTTTAACAATATAGATACGAATAAAATTATTTACACAAATGTGATGGTTTGGGTCATTTAATTTTTTTACTTTTGTTGTACTTGAAAGCCTTCTTTAGAGGACTGAAAAATAAATAAGTTACGAGTACATCGATTTAAAAGCAAAAGATTTTTTATGTTCAAAATTTACGTTTATGAGCACGTTTTAATTTAGGTAGCTACATGCTTCTTCTTTTATTATCATTACTGTTATCCATAAGAGTCTTATTCACCACTTTATTCTCTGATCATTTGCATTCAATTTCTTCATTTTAGTTAGATAATACGAGAAATCTGTCCCTAATATTATGAAGTTATAGTTTTAAATACCTTTATCCCATAGCTGGACTCTTCATAGATGATGGAGACGTAGCTCCACCCTAATTTCTTCACGATCTCCACCATCGCCCGCACTTGGTGCAGGTCCGAAGGTATCGTCCTCGTGAAGTACTCGAACCGGGCCTTGTTGGACAGCTCGGGAGATGTTGAGAAGAATGACACCTGAGTAATAAAAAAGTCATTGATTGTGGGAAATGATACCAAAGACAGATAATGTTGCACGGTGGTTCGTCCAAGGTTGCACGGGAACATAAGTTTTCTGTAGTCAATGGGTAGGTACCTACTACCTACACCTGAGGTATACATGCCCATAGTAAGGAACTGGCAGGAATTTACATTTTTTTGCGTCGTTCTACTTGATCGCACTGCCATTTCACCATCAACATCACCAGGTCATTTCGTGTCTACTGCAGGAAGATGAACCCTCTCTTGTGCATTAGAGGCAAAAGGAAGGATTTGGCCAACAATACCTATGTATTAACAGATCTCTAAAGCGCTTAGCCATTTAGCGTGAAAGTGGCTTGAAGATCACCAACTCCGCGTCATGTAGAGGCGTTCCAACAAAAGGTTGCGCGCACCTGCGGGATCTTGAAGAGGCGCAGCAGGTTGGCGACCTGCACGGAGGTGACGCTGGACGCGGCGCCCACCACGCCCGAGATCACCTTGCGCACCGCCGTCGCGTTGCACGCGTACTCCGCGTCGTCGATGTTGCTTATGGAACCTGCCGACATACAACATGGAAGTCAAAGTCAAAGTCAAAATTTCTTTATTTGTTTAGACTAATAAATAGTTCTTACAAATCGTCATTTTGCTCTTAAGGAGCCTCTACATGTCTCATAATCTTTTTACCCTACCAGCGCTTCGAGACCAACATTTGGCAAGTGCTGAGAAGAAGCGCCGCAACAAACTCAGTCACCACTGTCTGCCGGTTAATATAATACAATATATTGTTTTAAACTTGCATGGTCACTATCATAATTATTATTACTGACGGGATTGCTTTCTTCAGTTACTCCGTGACCATGGCGCTTGCAACAGTGCCGAAATATCGGAAACTCAAAATTAAGGTACATGGTAGGAATCCCGTCAGTAACATTAAACATGTAATTACGAATGGAAGAAAGAATAATGGGTCATATACCTTCATACCCCGGATATCGCGCACAATAGCCCAATCATGAGGCTAAGTAATACGTAGGGCTGTGGTCAATCTGGTTTTTTACATGATCTAGGTAGGATTAATAATACTAATACACGCATGCATATACATACATTACACACGCAACACACACTTGAAGAGCACTGTGTTATTTTTTGTGTAAAACTTAAATATTAGTGTCTATCCACTTAATATGGTTGCCACAGAATACCAGCGTTATGCTCTAGGTCCTGACCTAGGGCATAGCACATGGTGAGTGGCTGCCATTTTAGTTCAATTAACTACATAAGTAAGTAATTATGTTGTTGTAGGTAGTCTTAAGGATGTTCGGACTAAATAAACATATTTTTCTTTCTTTCTTCATTCGATTGCCCTGCAAAAATAACTAACTAACTAATGGGTCATACGACAATACAAATGTAGAGCCTTAATATACCTAAACAAGGAGCACGAGTACAAGAATATTTACCAAGAAACGCCAATAATAAGGCCCCAATTGCGAGATCTATCATTAAAGGACTCAGGATTAGGCCGTGACACAAAGAATGTACGCCTACGTTGGTAATTATAGAAATAACTAATTCCAAGATGTTGGGTACCGTGGTACTGATCCTCGCGACCCCAATAAGTCTTGGAAGAAATGTAGGTACTGAGATTACCGTTGTATTGAGGTCCAAACTGATTATGTTTCACAACTGAGACCTAGTAAACTAAATGAGGTTGGTAAAGAGAAAGAATAAATAAGAAAAATTAAAGTTACGAAAAGCCAATAAATATGTTCTGAGATAAGATGTCAAGATATCTTCCGGGTTATCTGTTACGTCAGTTCAGATCAGGATGCTATTAAAAATGTAATCCAATCTGGGAAAGCTGTAATACAGAAATGTATGAAGGAAAATATCTTTTTTCAATTTACCGATCCAAACTTTTCTGTATCAATTTGAATTATATTAAAACAACAAGTTTTAAAAATTATTAGAAACCGAAGACTTTTAATAACACTCTTCAGAAGTCTGTTATTTATCCGAAACAAATTATTCTAGCAAACAATTAATTAAAATACAGGTTTCCAATTAGATTATCTTTTCCCAAAAATAATAAGCAACCCTCAAACGTCTAGCAATAAGTTGTGTTCTTAGAATCACATTCACAAATAAAATAAAAATAGCAACAAGTAATGAAATCAACTTACAAATAAGAAGGACAAAAAATACTCGTAATGCGGATTAAGTTCTAAATAAAACGTCAAATTAAATATAACGGAACAAGTCAGCGGAAAATCGAGCATCTTAAAAAGATCTACAAAATTAAATACAATGTGGGACGAAAAATAACATTTAATTTCTTTTGTACGAACTTATTTTTTCTGTTTTGTGAGATAAATAGAGTAGGATATATATTTATCAAATATACCGCGATTGTGACAAAAATACCTGATTTTTGTCACAATCGCGGTAATTTACTTAGGTAGATTTTATTCATCACGAATGCTTTCAATATGACAATCTGTGTACTCTACGTAACATGGTTCACTGGTGTGTGCTTATTGCCGCAGCAATAGTTAAGAAGAAAATAAGTCAATAAATAATTGAGAAACAGTGTGAATTTTGTAAATATTTTTCAAATGCAAAAGCTGTAAAACTATACATATACATCCTGTTCCACCAATTCTTCATTTGATCTAACCAGGCAGAGAGGCATTAATTGTTCAGGAAGGTTACTTTTCTTTGAAGTTCGAAACATTTAATATCATAAATGAGTCATGGTCTCTTAAATAAATATTGCCTGAGAGCCTATACCTTACATACTTAGCATATTCCTCGTTTGCCAAATTACTCTGTCCTTAAAATACTACAAAGCAACTTCACACACCAAAGTGACTCCACCAAGATGGCGCTAAGTGGACGTCTATTTAGTCAAATGAAAGAGGGTTTACTCACAAGTGAAATTCCGAAGAGGCTCGTGTTAATTGAAGTGTGACCATCCTAATTTTGTTCACAGCGTTAAGTAATTGTTTTATAGCAATTCCAACTTTGCCTTTCAATTTGCTCACTTTACTTCGAGTGAGTCTGTAATTACTGTTAATTCTTTTGCTAATTGAAAAACGATAGAATGGTCACAACGTAAATTACAATGGTCTTGTTCGAAGTGGTGGAACTCGAAGTTTCTAAAGTTTAAAATCCTCGTTAGTTCTTAACTTTAAAGTGTTACTAACTGAGGTAGTAGTGGTCAAAGTTTTCGCATAGATTTCCGCAAATTCTTGGAATTAATCTTTTGTATTGTTTGTTGATTAGTCTGTTTGTCCCACGGAGTTTGGTTGTTGATGTGTGAAAGAGAACTTTGGTAGTCTTCCATTGAAATTACTAGAAATTATTATGTTTGCCGTAATCAGGAATTAGCTATTGTTTTTGATTTATGGTTTGTTTTTGATCAGACTAATGCTGGTTTTCTATATTCAATCCTAATCCAAATCCGTCCGTCAACTTTCAAATTTCAATATGTTTTTGGTCAAAATATCTACCGTTTCCTATGTTTTTGCATTTTCATATTGTTTATAAGACTATTTAAACAATAATTAAGTGTAACCGCATAAAAAAATATGCATATTTGTTTGAAAACAGATTCAAATTTAGCAGTTGCAATCCGGATTTTTACTCGGATTGAATACAGGAAACGGGCGTTAGACAACAGTCTTCTCGTTGAACACACCTATTTTATTATCTTTGTAGCTACACCTACACACAACACGTACCCCGTATTTATTATGTCTACTTACTCGTGCTTCCCCTTCCCCAACATTATAATTTATTCATTCGTATGGAGGAAGCATTTCAAAGTCGACATCTTGTTTCCGTCATATGTCAGTACCTGTATATTAAGGGAGAGTCCGCTAATTTGAACCAGTTTTTTTCAATCCCATTTTACACATAGTTTTCTTTTGTTTTTGCTCATGTCCATGGTATATAATAAAAGATACATTATTCAACTTAGTATTTCATAAGTATTAATGAACATGATTGTTGTATATTTAGCACAAATCAACAAAATACGAGCTCAGAGCTTCGGTCCAATTTAGCCAACCGGTTCGATAATTTGTACCACAGGGTTACTAAATTGAATTTCAATAAATTTCAAGCCTATAAAAAAACTATGGCAAAATATTATACGATACATTCTTAACAAATTAGGAAACGAAAAGGAACAGTAGTTAATAACATAGACAATCGATATTGTTTTAAACGTTATCACGATTTTGAGTACAAGTTTTGTAATTCCAATTATCGTAACGCACACTTGTACCTAATCTACTTTGCCAGTATTTTGCTTTTATTTATTGTTAGTCAAACATAGCTACGCTATTATAACTTCAAAATATGATTTATTAAAAAAAAAATCAAAATCCTTTGGTAAAGTTCCATACAACTTGATGTGGTACAATTTAGCCGACTAGGTGATAGTGCTTTTAAAAAATCGGTAAAAAATATAGCTTAAAAATACCGAAAAATGTTTCAAATAATTGTAATCCACACTAATTTACGCTTATAAATAATATATTAGAAACACCCTGTGATTAAATTTAACAAAATTACAAACTAAACATGCCTTGTCAAAAGTTACTTGAAAACAATGAAAAAATAATTTTCAAAATAAAACACACGTGTTTGTTGTCACGGCAAAAACCACATGGCCGATATTAATTGAATTTAGTTGTGTATCGCTGAGTGTTGCAATTACAGACATTCAATAAATACTTTACGAAATATAAGGGTGGTACAATTTACCCGGCGGTACAATATACCGAACTCTCCCCTAATTTATTTTACTTATTGTGTCAATAATACCATTTAGTCATCCATCTTTTTGACTAGGGTCTGACTGATCACTACTACTTTGCCTGGCCCATTCCCATTTTATTTGGGGTCGGCCCTCCGCGTCATGCGTCTCCAGGCGGCTCGGTCCTGGGTTGTCTTACTGTTAGTAAATCGATAAAATGCCTCATCATCATAATTTCAGCCACAGGACGTCAACTGCTGAACACAGGCCTCGAGACAATCACCATACAATCAAAACTCACTGATTCTGCGCTTGTTCGGTTGTAAAAATGTTCACTGGGTTTGTAACAAAATGATAATTAAGACGAAATTAATATAATTTATTTGATTAGTCAACTGTATTCAAATGTAAAATTAAAATCAGAGTTTTGACGGGTAAATTGGTAACAATCAAACATTTATGTGATCAATAAATCATTGTGAGGATGATTGATGTTTTTGATCGAATAAACAACATTTATTTTCGTTTAATGTACCTAAATGTAGTTAGAAGAAAATACTGTGATAAGGTCATTTAACCATTATTTCAACTATGGAACAAGAAATAGAAAGAACTTTATTGGCACAGCACATTAAACAATAACAACTATAATAAAAAGTAAATAAAAACAATCATTAATGTTTTAGTAGATGAACAATCGAAAAATAAAAGATTTAACATATTTTACCAAAACTAGAGCAAATTATGTCTGTTGCGTGCCAATCGTATTTATCGACGGTATTTCGTGAACATTATAGTTCACAAAGTACCGTCAATTATGGAATAGAATATCTCTTTCATAACATCTGAGACTGAAATAAGCAGTATTTACGTGGCAAAATAAAAGAAAAGACGAAATCATTCAATCTTTTAGATTTGATAGCTATCTAAATTGGTAAATATTTTTACTTTTCTCAAATATAATTACTAGGTACTATTCGTAAATTCTGCTTCTTATTTACTCGCTTTTTATTTTCATTTCATTGTAGATAGTTAATGTCGGTTTGTCGTTAAAGAAAATGTTTATCACCCTTAACATAAAAAAATGTTCCATCCAACAAATGTTTGTTGGATGGAACTAAGGAATAAAATTAGGATTTATTTTACGTCAAAAGGTAGCCTAGTAATGTCGTGTCCTAGGTCTCATCTATTTCAATTTATTTGTCGTTGCTACTCAACATTATCAATCCGTATGCCAAGATCAAAGATAATTTGACATAGCAAACTTTCCAATCTTTAGAATACTTTTATGGTAGAATAGTTTTTGGAAAAGATGTCAATTAGGAACGTCAATTTCATTCTTCAGATAAAAGTTATTGGATGATTGAAAAATTGACTCTATAAATGTATATAAAACTTACCTTTGATAAAATCAACAGCCATCTCCAATCCATAAGTATCTTTATCACAGTCATCTAAAACATGAGCGCCAAGCGTCACTCCCGGCACCAACTTCAGGTCATTGTTTATGATATCCAAGGTGTAAAGCATGGTCTCCAACGCTTGAACTCCTCCCTGGGGCATGACCGGCCCACACGTCATGCTGTCAGATCTCTCATGCACCATCATCAGACCACCTAGCACCAGGTCACCTTCTATGACCGCCTCTCTCTTGATGGGCCAATGGGGGTGGTGTTTCTTGTCCTTCAGCTCTCCCACTTGGTCGTTCGACATGTTCACCCAATCCGTCTTTTCGTTGAACAAATCGTTGTGTATCAAATCTTTCTCTACGAAGCTAATGTCTTTGAAACTGGAGATAGGGTCGAAGAAGGGTGTCTCGTCTAGGGGGTCGAATTCGGGTATAACTTGAGCGTGTTTGTGCTTGTGCCTGTGGACAATGTAAAAATCATTTATCTGATCTAAGAATGCTGTTCAGACTAGAAAGCTATAGGGAATAGCTATATCTTTTGGTATTAATGCCTGTTTTCACCATCAATCCCTAATTTTTAAGTGACCCTTAAGAAAACATACATTTGTTATGTGTTACCCTATGGTAACACTTATAAGTTAGTGATTGATGGTGAAAACGGGCATAAGCCGCATAAAGTTAAATTCAAGGTAAATTAAAGTCAAGGTTTTTATCTAAGGATGTCCGGCTTCTAAGTAGGTACGAGTAAAGGGAAACTATCGTCAAATTCTCATGGGTTATTTAGTAAAGAGGTTGGTGGTTGGACCTTAGCTCTTATAGAGTCAAACAAAGCTGGACGATGACTTCCTCCTTTTTGGATTTCAAGGGTTTTCTCAACGTTGACTCACGCCACCTTGGATGGTGTCTCACCTGTGGTGGTGTCTCAGGATAGGAGTGTGCTCGAAGGCTCGGTGGTCGGGCCTCAGCTCTGACGGGGCGGTGAGCAGCAGCATGGCGGCAGCGAGCCAGACAGAGCCGGGCTTGCTGGACGATGTCTCACGCCACCTGGGATCGTGTCTCACCTGTGGTGGTGTCTCAGGATAGGAGTGTGCTCGAAGGCTCGGTGGTCGGGCCTCAGCTCTGACGGGGCGGTGAGCAGCAGCATGGCGGCAGCGAGCCAGACAGAGCCGGGCTTGCTGGACGATGTCTCACGCCACCTTGGATCGTGTCTCACCTGTGGTGGTGTCTCAGGATAGGAGTGTGCTCGAAGGCTCGGTGGTCGGGCCTCAGCTCTGACGGGGCGGTGAGCAGCAGCATGGCGGCAGCGAGCCAGACAGAGCCGGGCTTGCTGGACGATGTCTCACGCCACCTGGGATCGTGTCTCACCTGTGGTGGTGTCTCAGGATAGGAGTGTGCTCGAAGGCTCGGTGGTCGGGCCTCAGCTCTGACGGGGCGGTGAGCAGCAGCATGGCGGCAGCGAGCCAGACAGAGCCGGGCTTGCTGGACGATGTCTCACGCCACCTGGGATCGTGTCTCACCTGTGGTGGTGTCTCAGGATAGGAGTGTGCTCGAAGGCTCGGTGGTCGGGCCTCAGCTCTGACGGGGCGGTGAGCAGCAGCATGGCGGCAGCGAGCCAGACAGAGCCGGGCATGCTGGACGATGTCTCATGCCATCTTCGACGAATGCTTGCTCCATGTCGTTGAGCGCACGGTCATTTTAATCTGGAACAAGGAGATATTTCGTTACAGATTTTTTCTTTCAAGCGATAAGAGTTTACGTCTCAATTATAATAAAACTACATTATTAATTTTTCTTCTTCATAAGGTTCTAAAATGTTAAATGTTTTGTTAAATAAAAAGATCAAGAACGAACACGTCAATCTCAATAATATAATTTATAAACATTTTGTGTAACTCAATCTTATCCAGATCACAATTTCCGTTCTAATTACTTTGCTCTCTGATATTGAGAAATTTAAAATATTGTAGACTTGTTATTTTTATCTCATTGAAACATGTTTTTGTTACAGGTAAGTTCCAGAAAAATCTTATACGACGCTTCAAGAGAGGGATAAGGTATTTTACATTAAAACGTTTATTAACTTTAATGGCCTGTCGAACTTATATGAGTTCGAGAGTGAAAACACTGAACGCTGCGGGCAACACTTTCACATTGTAAACCCACAGCCCATTGTCTTTCATTCAATTGCCGGGGGACCGGGTTGAATTAAACAACAAGCTATCGATCTGATGAACTTTCACATCAGAGTGGTTAATTAAACGTTATGGAAATGCTCGTTGCTTTACATCCAAATGATGTCTACTGCTAGACAAAAGGCTGTACCTCACAGTGAAAATTTTGTATTTTACTAGCTGACGCAGCAATAAACTTAAGAAGCTCATTTTATTTTTGCAATTAGGCTTTCAAAAATCACTTTTACACGTCCCAGTAATAACCCTACCACTGCTTTGGGACAATAAATGGGCCAGTGCTGAGAAAAAGCAGCGCAAGAAACTCGGTCACTATTGTTTGTTGTTGTTTTGCATCTAGAGGTATAATTAATAAATAAATAAATAACAGCGCGCGACAAACTCCGAGTTGCAAATCAGTCGGGGCCGCCACGCGCCTGTGAGTACACGCGTACCTACACGCTAGCACAGAATAAGTAATAGTACAGGTACAGAAGATTACTCCGCAAGACGAT